CGAGCAGCATAACATGGTCGCAAATGTAATCTCACAGCACAGGTAGGCGAGTCACGTGTTTGCGTTTACGATTTTTGCGCAAATCTTTAGTACTTTCTTACAACGACTTTTCAAAACAACGAATGAATTTTTTAGCAGTCCCTTGAGATTCATTGTATCGAGATTTCACTGTGCACAACTTCTTTTCTTTTGGAGGGGTCACCCGTTGTTGTAATTAATCTGGCCACAATATCCCTCGAATGGCAGTCCCCATGTGCACATCAATATAAAAAACCCCAATATAAAGAAGTCGCATTTGAAATGCAAGCTGTTAGTCATACCCTAAATATTCATAAATATATATTTGTTACGCTGCATAAAGATGGCCACACAATTTCATCATTAATTATGTCCATATTTGCTATATCAAGGCTCGCCTGCACACAGACGAAGTAAAAATCCTCAAATTTGACACCTACTACAGTCGCCAACGGACTTTTTGGACTCCAAAAATGCGGACTTGTTCGGTATTTCAGACTTCTATAATGCACCGTCAGGGTTCCCATAGGGCTAATGCATTTTTTTGACCAATTGTTCGGATGAATTCGCCCCGAAAAGTTGGATTTTTAGGACTAAATCACTTTTTTCAGCCGCACCTTGAACCTGTAAGCACGCCATGTTGAATTTTTCGCCGGCTTGACTTAGCTTGGTGACTTATGTTTTAAAATGACTTTTCTACCTCCGAGATTGGAAAGCGAACGTCATCCTTCAGGGTTTCAGAGGCTGTGTGCGCTATAGAAAACGCAGCACGGCACTATTTTTTCGTCTTCCGTCGTCACAGTGGTCAGCACTATCGCCATCGCACCGTACGGGGAGGAGGCCGAGTAAAGATTCTTCAATTTTCGCAGCAGTTGCAGTTTGCCAGCTTGTTCCAGTCGCCATTCAGCACGTGTTCTGTCGGGTCATATCAAGACGTGTGCTTCGCGGCAGCTATCTGCGGCTGTGTGCTCGAGCTCGATGCCATGGCTTCGCCATCTGTACCATCGTGAGAACCAGGTGGTGCGAAAAAGCGTGGGAACTATACGACCATGACGTTAGAGAAGAAAGCTGCAATTATCAAGTTAATAGAGAGTGGACGGTTGAAGAATACCACCTATCGAAGCAAACGGTATGCGACTATGTGAATGAAGATGTTGACAGCATCTCAGAATTCATACAAGAGCAGAAAAACGGCAGCAAAGGTGTTCATCCAGCCCTTGCAGATCCTCCGTAGTTGTGGTTAAAAAGGGTGTTGGCAAAAAACCTGCCTGTGCCGGGACATTTGTTGAAGGAAAAAGCAGACTCGTTAGCCCTCAAAATAGGCCTTGAGGATTGTAAATTCACTGACGGATGGCTTCGCAGTTTCAAGAAGCGGTATGAAATTCTGTTCAAGAAAGTGAGCGGTGAAAGCGGAGTGGTCGACCAGACTCTTGCGTCTGATTACTGTGTCACGAAGTTGAGATCCTTGCAGAATAGGCTCCTTCGGACATCTTCAACTGCGATGAGACAGGACTTTTCTTTAAAAAGAGCGCCGACATAAAATTTACTCACGCCATGATTTTTGCGTCAGCGAGTAGCTATAGACCCCGTAGCAGCGATTCACGACCTAAAACGCAACTGAGGGATGAATAACCATCACTTTTATTGATTTACATCACTGTATCTAGCACTATTGAAAACAGCCAGCAATCCCGGCATTTTTAGCGCTGGGAGCACCAGCAGTGGCGCTACCTCGTGGTCACCTCCAGATAGCACCACAGCTGAACACTTCTCAACAGAAAAGAGTGACGTCAGGCTCAGCTGCTCCACAAACCTTTAGTCTGCTAGGCGGACACTTTCAGTCACGCCTTGTCACCTGCATTGCTGTCGTCGCTGTACAAAAGTGTTGACTCGAGTTCAATACGATAGTCTGGAGCTTGGAATCCCTGCGATTCGCGACGTCGCCAATTATTTTTGCTTCGATCGACTTTTTACAGAACAGCGATTTCAAAATGGACGCCGTTCCAAGCAGCACTTGTGGGGGTGCTGACACCCCCCCCCCCCCTGTAAAGTTGTCTGCGCCGCGTGGCGCACGTGTCTCGCCCCAAGGCTTTATTTCGGTGGTGACCAACGCCGGGCGATAGATGGCATTGTGTTCGCTTTGAGTACCACTGTTGGTAGAGTGGTAGCGCCGGCGGTGGCCCCTGGCGGAAGGCAGGCCTTGGTGGTGGGCGAGGGTTGAGCGAGCCTCTTCTGCGCGTGGCGGCTGCCGCGAACAGTTGTCTGTAGCGTGGGTCCCCAGTGCTCGGCACCGCGGGCTTCGCGCCAGGGTTCCACGTGGAAAGTCAGGCGTTGGCGACGCCGCCTTGGGTATGTGTTAGTGTGTTTATCATGTTATTGTGTGTTTAGTGTGTCATTGCATTATGTTGTTTGTATGGTAGCGTGTTAATCAAAATTGATGTATCATTCGGCGGACGATATCGTCGTCTAAATTAGTTAATAAATGTATGTATGTTGTGTGCTTTGTACCGACCACGTCTGCTGTGTCCGTTCACTCCAAGAGCGTGGCGTGGCGATGCGTTCGTTCGCCTCGCGGAGACCCCAGTGTGTGTTTATCATGTTATTGTGTGTTTAGTGTGTCATTGCGTTATGTTGTTTGTATGGTAGCGTGTTAATCAAAATTGATGTATCATTCGGCGGACGATATCGTCGTCTAAATTAGTTAATATATGTATGTATGTTGTGTGCTTTGTACCGACCGCGTCTGCTGTGTCCGTTCACTCCAAGAGCGTGCCGTGGCGATGCGCTCGTTCGCCTCGCGGAGACCCCACACACTGCAGAGTTGCCCGAGGATGCACGCTTCAGCCATGTTAGCTCGTGTGTCTCAGTTAGCCATATTGGTGTGTTCTGGCGTGCAAAGCATTCAGGCATTCAGATATACACAGAGGGGTCAATGCAATATAGCTATCGCGAATGAGCATCAGCGGAGAAATAGAATACGTTTCCTGCTTGTCAGGTTCTTTTTCGCGCCTCCAGATGGCCCTACCTATCCAGCCTCTCGCGCTTAACATGGTATTACCACTTTTACGTGGATGCAAAGTCTATAGATGAACTAAAATTCATGCATGTTACTTGTTAGCGATGATACCTGACTATACGCTGTTCCACTTTTGATAGCTTGTGGACGTGTTGATGGGTAACACATGCGTGATATGAAAAGACACCCTCATAGCGCTTTTTCCGTGCTTCGAACGAGACGACTGCAACTCACCTGCAACTCACAACAATTCCCTGACATGCTGATCGACAAGACACACGTTTAATCATGCTCTTTTCTTTCGCCGTTCTTCTAAAGGTTGTTTTTATCTTGATAATTGCCTGAAATCATTCAAAACGGTGCGACAAAGATCAGACGCGATGAGCGAGTGCGTTTCTGCGCTTCGGCACCACTCGACGCCTCCCATAAGAACCCTAGGATCGTACTCGTCCTCGCTACTAGGGCATCGTCACACAGGGTAATATTTGTGGAATGTATCACACCGAACATGTAGCACTAGTGTCGATGTCGCAGGGCAGTCTGTTTTCCGTTTTTTCTTCTTAGCTTTTCTACGCTGTTTGACATCGAATTAAAATAACTTCCACGCGATGAATGCCGTTCGAATTTGACCAAGAAGAACTATGCATACCAAGCGATCGAATGATGGGCACATCTCGATCTTGAAATTTGATGTCAGTGCTCCTTTAAGATGCTCCCGGACCGTACGCTAGCATTTTCGAAGAATCATGCTTCGGTGGGAAACTTAGCAAGGAGCGCTTAACAGTGATGGTAGGTGCCACTGCCACCAGTACAGAAAAACTGCCTCTTTTTGTGATCAGGAAGGCAAGAAATCCTAGGTGCTTTAAGGCGGTGTAGACCCTCCCAGTGGACTACAACAGTAACTCCAAGGCGTGGATCACGCAGTATTTATTTGAAAAATACCCATGCAATCTTGACCGCAAGTTTGTGTGGCAAGGCAGGAAAGTCATATTTTTTGTTGACAATTGTGGCGCGCACGGTAACGTGCTGGACCTTGAGGCCATTTGGCTGGAGTTTTTGCCGCCTAATACCACAAGCGTGCTCCAGCCAAAGGATCAAGGCGTGATCCGAAACATTAAGGCACAGTACCGTGCCCGCCTGCTTAGCCGCACCGTCTTGTGCCTTCACAATGGGAAGGTCTACAAGGTCGACATTCTGGCAGCCATCCATATGTTGGCCGAAGCTTGCAACACGGTGAAAGCAGACACCATTGCACATTGCTTTAGGCATGCCAGGTTTGTTGCTGCCGAAGAGCCCGAGGCGGATGACTTGGACATAGGCGATCCAGACGGCACAGATGGCGGGAAGGACCCAATGCACGACCTTCGCAGTGGTGGAGTGAATGTGCCTGCCACGATAATATTTAAGGACTTCGCTCGTGCGTACGATGACATTGTTTCATGCGGGGAGCCCACTGCCGAAGAAATTGTTCGCCAGGTTGTTCCGCAGCCGGAGAGCGGCTTGGACGATCACAACGATTGTCCGCAGCCATTGGCGGCGGAGATCGTCACTGTTGTGACGCTTTTGTCGAGCATTCACGGTGACGATGTCACCTTGGCGCAAATACAGGCGAACGAAATTGCTTCCAAGCGTAGTATGAGGAAAGGCAGAATCATGGCCTTTTTAAGCCTGCCTGATGCAATAAAGTTCATGTTTTTGAGAAAAACGAATTTTTCGGACTGTTCGATTTTTCGAACTATTTTTCGGTCCCCGCCAGGTCCAAAAAATCAGTCGGCAACTGTATAGCACACATTCACCAATGCCTATACCAGCAAGTAGCACTACTACATATTTTTCTATACACGTTTTTTAAAGATAAGAATTCCGCGGTATCACACCTTTCCTCCGTGAGCGCTTCCCGTTTCTAAAGACGGACGTTACAAATGCCACAGACCAAACAACCAAGCCGGCAAAGTGCCCAACTCACACTCATCGCAGAAGCTGTTGCCGCAGCAGGGGATGAGCACGGCGTCCTGCAGCAGGTCGTGGCAGATCATGCAGAGTAGCTCGTCGGGCAGTTGCGGCTCCTGCACGGGCTCTGGTGTGGCTTCCCGCACAAAGGGAGGCTTCTCCTTCTTGACCTCCTTATAGGCCTGGCTGCACACACGAGCATGCAAGTCGGTTATGGTGGACCGTCAAAGCAGACCACATCTACGTGACAACCCACTGTGAAAAGGGAACACTCGAATGAGCCTCTTTCATATTGCTAGCCCTCTAACGGCTAGTGGTTGTGGAAGAATTATGCTCGCACTAGTCGGTCAAAGGGGTCAATAACCATCAATTACCACTAGTGTTATGCTAGTCTGAGCAACTATATTTTATTGGCGAAGCTCCTTAAAGCGTGGGTCTGTCCATCCCTTGTATGTATGTAATAGTACTAGCTACCGGTAACACATACCCTCTCTAGAGCAGGTATGTGCCACAGGGGATGCGAAATGGGAGATGGAGGTACTTAGAGCATTCACCAGATACGATGCATGGACGGATGAACAGACAGACTAGCAGAGGTACGGATGGACGCACAGATGGTTGCGCGGACAGATGAAAGCAAGAACCAACGCACGGACGGAAGCATAGACGGGCTGACGGATGATTCGCCCCACTCATCATCATTCACTCCGGGGATATGCTGTGATTTTTTGCATGACAGCCAAATACGGACATGACAGCCAAATACCTGTACACGTAAGTGTTCCCTTTAACAGTGGACCCATCTGCACATACCAAGCCCATTTACATTGAATTATCCCTTACACTAAATTTCCGAACATTTTAATGTTACAATGATAATGAATAGCAAGAATTCAATGTTTAAACAACGATTAGCAGCAACTGCTACTGCATCGAACTTCAGTGCACGTAGAAGAGGCATTGCAAAAGTCGTCTTTCTTGCCGTGTATGCTTGCCGGTATGCGCTAAGGCACAAAGGGCAGCAGACAAGCACGCACACGAGAAGATGCCTGCTAAAGCAGCGCGCCTACCTCTTGTGCAGGCCTGTGTGCATATGCCCGGTGGTGGGCGAGTGCCAGGCGAACGCAAGCTACCGAGAGACTGTGACGTGCATGAGCGTGACACGAGGGGGAGGCACTGTCCGGGAATCTTCAGACATGTGTCTCCATGCACAAAAAACCGACACACGGGTCGCGCCAGACAAAAAGACCTGGCAGTGAAACCATGTCGACCATGTTCCAGAAGTTAGAGCCGCGTGCGATCAGCACTCACGTAAGCTGAAAAACGAGGCACCAAAGAGAAGGGAGCGCTCGATTCTCACAGAATATCTAGAACGATAGTACCAGGAAGCGGTAAAAAACGGAAACATATCAACGAGGTTCTACTGTACCTACAGAAAATTTCGACACGACTGACATGGCATCAGATTTGACATGTAACGCTTAGTGGGATATAACCTTGCCCGAACCGCGACAATGAGCACAGTAAAACAAGACAACACTCACTGGTCAATCAGTGGCACAGCAAATTCACCCGTGCTCGTGAGAAGCGCCCCCTTGTGATCGGGACCATCCACGGTCACCATGAAGCTGCGTGGAATGCCCGTGCTCCGCTTCACCTCAACCTGGAAAACAAGAATATACCATAAGTTTGCAATGAGAATGAAAGTGCAGGAATGCGAGAAAACCCATTGCAATCCTTTGTCACCGCACTCTATTTCCCATGGTCACACTTTAACAAATGAATTCTGTAGCATTCATTAAAGACTAAATAATTATTTTGCTCTTTTATGTTCACCTAGGTCTAAATAAATGTGCATTTGGTCAATGTGGCACACGCTCCATACGAGAAGACGAAGTACACCCAAACCTCGTAATAACGAAGTTGAAGGTGAGCGATAATTATTTCATTATATCCATTATTTCGTTTGTGGCAATGCATGCTCAGATGGGCACACACCTATAAGCATGCAAAGAAGGAAACCGTCTCGCCGCCCAATATACTGCTACGTGACCACAGCCACGAAAAATAAACTCAGTCGAATCTCATCAATTCGAACTTTCGAGTAATTCGAACTCACGCTGAGGTCCCGTCAAAGCTATGTGTATTCCAATGGGCAAAAACGCCCTGTAGTTCGAACGTGCAAGCACTCGCGACGGTTAATTCGAACATACCGCGCTCCAAAAATGCTTTCAGCACCATGCCCAATTCTGCGGTGGCACCTCTCAACGCTGCGCGCGAAGAAGGAAAAAAAGAAAAGGCAAGAAAAGGCAAGAAAAGACTGTGGCGGATCGTTTGCTCTCTCTCAAATGCCAATCTGCGACGTGCCTGTGCCACACTTCTCTCTTTTCCGTCTCTGCACGTAGAGACCCTTCGCCTTTCAAGGCCGCGCGCGAAAAGAGAGAGAAAAAAAAAGAAAGCTGGCGCGGAGAGTCCTCTTTTCTCAGTGCAGAGGGTAGCAGCCATGGTAGCAGCAGAGATGCAGTCATTGGCGTCGCGAGAGGGAAATCGCTTTGCACCGCGGCGATGCTTCTCAGTCATGTGACTCGCTGAGCGCTTCCTCAATCCTCTCCGCTGGCTGTGCGAGGAGGACGGCTCTCTTGGCCATGCGGGGCGTGGCTGTAAGGTTGGCGCTGGAGTTGTGAAAGAGCGGCGCCGAACGAGCGTCGAACTCCGCAGAAAACGATATACTTAGCACATTACGGTCTTTTTTTTTTTATAGACTATTTGATAGACTAATTTAGTTCTTTATATACATTTACCGGCCAATACTACTTCGTTACAACGAGGTTTAAAAGGCGTGGTTCTCTATAGAGCTTTTAAGAAAAATTTCATTTACTTCATTATAACCATGATTTCGTTATATCTTGTTATGTTATAACGAAGTTTGAGTGTATATGAGTGCTTAGGATAGATTGTAGAGAGCACAGAAACATGATAAAATGGCGAATTGGTATCTCTTATATTGCCACTGAAACTGAACTTTCAGACCAGGAACGATAGCCAAACACCTATTGCAGTAGCTTGTTCCACACGAAGAGTAGGCTATTCTGCAAAGCAACGGGGGAGGCATCATAACTGGCTGGAAATTCCAATTAAAACAAGACATCTATGGCATTTCAGTAAACAGCAAGTTTACTGGAAGTGAAGACCCATCTCTGTCACATATCTTTCGAAGCTGTTTCCATGCACCTGCGCTAAATAAAAAGTTTGCACAGCACCTGGCACATGTAGCCTAATTACAATGGCCAAATGTGCAACTTATGACTGCCACTTGTCGCACTTAATGGAAAGTCAACAAACTAGTGCAACATGGTGTGTCACTTGTTTGATGATTGTGCGACAGATTGCACCTTCCATTTACGTTAAGCCTTTCATATAAATTGAGCCTGCTCATACTGCTAGTGGCTAAAGCTACTTGGATCAAGTACTGTATTTACTCGCATAATCCTCGCACTTTTTTTGACGGAAAACCAATGCAAAGTTGCGGGGTGCGAGAATTACGCGGAGAAAACTTTCCACGAAAACTTACAGAGCGAAAAAGAAAACGAAGTGGATGCAGATCGGGATTCTCACACCAGCAACTAACAGCAAGCTTTGAGAAGTGCTAATTAAAATTTACCTAAACAATAAAAGCAGAGGTTCAACACAAGGCAAGATTTATTTAAGACACAAAAAATGCAAGCAAATAGGCGAGAATTAGAATACCATACGCAAAAATTATGGGCGATGCAGGCGTAGCGACAGCGTTCGTCACTCAAAAGGAGCCCTCAAAAAGTAAGCGTAGGATGTCAGTATTGGGCTGATGGCTATTTAACAAAATCACCCGCAATTTCCTTCTGAAGAAATAAAGTTTACCATCAATCCCAGTCTTAGGCACACGGCAAGCCCAACGCGTCTCACGGCAGGCCCAACGCGCCTTGCGAACACAACTCGTCTACTTTGAAGGGCCAACTGGCGGCCCTGTTGCCGTTGTTTAGTGCATCATCAATCACTTTCAACTTGAAAGCAGCCGTGTAGCTTCAGTATCACTCCATAACGTGACAAGATTACCAACACAACATACAAAACACGCCGCAACGCGCACTTGCCGCTTTGGCTTGGCTTTAATTGGATTGAATCTGTGTGTGATAATAGTATGCTTTTTATGCTTAGGAGATGGCGTTAGATGGCGCGCGCTATCATCATCAACGGTTGGAGCGAGCAGACGACATTACTGCGGCAATTTTCGGGGGTGCAATAATTACTCGAGGGAAAAAAAAATCGTATTTTTGTTGGGCGATGTGGGGGGTGGGTGAATTATGCGAGTGTGAGGATTACGTGAGTAAATACGGTACCATGATTGGTAGGTGCTGACAGAGTGGCAACTAAATGGTGCAATACAGCACTAAAAACACACAACGGATGGAACACACAACGGATGGAACACAAACGGTGGTGAGTGCCGACTAACACTCTCAGAGGGTCTCAATACAGGCACGTCACAAATGTGCCCATACAGACTGCAAAATCTTCTATTATGTGTATTCCACGGCCAACAGAAAGAAGTAGCGCACCGAAAACCCCACTAACGTCCCGAGGTAGTCACTTGGTGCGAAGACAAAAAGTTGTTGCGCACGGCAGTGACAGTGCCGTGCACAAGTAGTATGCCGACACCAGTATGTCGTCGTTTTGAGTTCCGTCCGTCAAGCCCTACAAAATGGTCATGGAGTCTTTTCTCACATTATTGGTGGGGCAATTCTTGATCCAGTGGCCAGTTTTGCCGCACCGGAAGCAGGTGTAGTTCGGAGGCAGGGGTCCTGTCATGCTGCGGCTCTTCACGTACCTGCACAGAATCATACGTTGATGCCTTCACAAGAGTGCTGCAACGTTTCTACTTATAAAGATCAAGCACAGTCGAAGTCAGCAAATCAACCAAAACACTATGGATGTAGGCGCATGGATGTAGGCACTAGGGATGTAGGCACTCATGTCTAATTCTTGTGTGAAACCACCACAGTCAAAAGCTACGGCTGCCACACCTTACAAAGGTTCTTTAAATCTTGCAATAATGATGATAATGATCTATGGTGTTTTATGGCACAAGGAAACCTTGCAGTCTCACATGCGTTTCTCTGAGCCACTATGAGCATCTGCCCACCACAAAAGTTTAAAATTTTGAAAAGAAAAAAAAAAAAAAACAGGAGGAATGTGGCAATACGGCCACTCACTTGGAAGGGTCGTACTCCTGGGACGACTGAGACATCATGGCCTTGATTTTGTCATCCTCACTGGCTGTGGAGTTGGCCAGATCCGCAGTCTGAGCAAGCCGATGCGACAGGGTGCCAGGAAAAGGAGAGAGGGAAAAAAGGAAGAGACAGACAAAGGCGAGCAAGTATTAGTCTATCGGACCAAGTGCAAGTCAAAATCGGGACAGCAGACCGAAGCCTGCGTCTCGATCACTACTGCACCCTGTGACGACAGGACCAAAACCAGTGGCGACAGCGTTCTGCTCGTGACCAAAGATGACAGCATTGAACAGTCGGCATGTCAAGCGGGCACACAAATGACTTGGCATAGGATTTTACCTGCAGATTACCCTGACAAATCAAGGTGTGAACCCTCCAACTTTCATTTTAATCTCATGGAAAAAAATGTGATAGCTGCAGATACAGGTGCTCGATCTTTGTAAATCAATAAAATAGTAGGTGATTAATTACTGTACATAGGTGCGTGTTTGCGTCAAACCTGTTGAATAAACAGCCGCTTCTAAGTAAGTGCTCTGCCTGTTCTTTCTTAGGTCTTTTTTTTAACTTTTTGTGCTCCAATGAAGTTCTTGGCCATCAACCCCGCTAGTCTATCTTTATCTTGCACACCAGTCAGTGCATTAGTGTAAACAATATGCACAAAAACATGTCAATTCCTTTCCTTGTCAAAGCATTGTGTTACAAAAGGTTACGATAATTAGATTTAATGTTGAGAAAAAAGCAAGACATGAACAGTAAACAATTAACAGTGAGCATAAGGAAGAAGAATGTTCATACAACAGCAACAGAGGTTTGCACTTATGCTTTCCTGCATTAATAATATCAACCCATGTTTCCCGTATTCATTTCTCACATTCAATTTCATGCCCCATAGCTACGGATAGAACAGTGATGGTGCACTGAAGGCTCAGCAACCTTCAAAGGCCAAACGGCACTCTACACTTTATGACTCATCAGGGACCACCAATGAAAAAGAGTTCATTTGCAGATGCATTCAGCACTGCTCTTGGTGCCAGTACAGAGTCAAATGTAGGTAGCATGTTCCTACCAAGCTTTTTCGAGTGGAAAATTGTGCATTTTTGCCACTCTGCTGTCCCTTATAGGTGCCCTTAATGTGAGTTTACGTACAGATTTGTTCCCAGAAGTCTAGGACACCTTTATTACGAATATTGTATATAATGAACAAATCTTTACTTAAAATCAAACTTCAGTATAAGCAAGGTAAAAAAAAAAAAACATTAGAGGTAACATACATCATTATGCAACAATAATGCACACTGAATTTTAAATAAATAAAGAATTGGGTGCAACAAGCCCTGTATGAATACCAATGCCCAAAGTTCAAGTTTACTACACAGAAAGATGTCACAAAGTGCACTCAGCCAAATTTAATGTCACTCATGATCACTTATAATTTATGGTAAATTTTTTCGAGAGAACAGGAGCACTCTAAAAGCACGCTGAAAGTGCTCTCTTCAGAGCCGCCGTGTTTCAGTGGCCGAACAGGTGTAGAAGCACTGTCACTTATGGACAGAGCGAGTATGCTTTTGCTGCTCCGAGAGCAGGCAGGAGCAGTTTGTAGTGCTCTCTCCTGAAAGTGGAGTAGGTGCAGTACGAGCCACGTGACTTAAGCGTCACATTCTCTGCATTGGTTTTAATTTTGCTTTAGCCGACAAGCACAGAGGTAATGGCAGCCACCCAAGTAGTTTCATTTTGTGATGATGATGGCTAGAAAGTGTACATAGCTACTTTTGCTCAAAGCGTCACCGCACAAACTTGCTATGTCACTGCGAGTCAGGATAACGGCAAAATGCAAAATGTCACTAAAAATATCCCCCAGATTTCTCCGCTGCCCCAAACAGAATGCCGGCGTTTCGAATGTTTGAAACGTATTTTTGTCCTCAGTCTCCTGCTTTCCAGAAGCTGGTCCTGCTCTCGGTGCTCTGCCCCTACTCCTCCACTTAACGACGCCTCTATTACTGCTCTCTCAATGGAATTCACCATTAACTCATTGCAGCAGAATGCCATCATTACAAATCAATAAAGAAAACTGTGTAGATACAGTCATTTTGATACTTCAGATACTGAGTGAATGCTACTATCACAATCTTATACCAGGTCATCCTTAAGTGCGGTTGTTATAAATACAGACTTCACATGACTTCCATGTGACACGCCATAACAAAGATTCTACTGCACCTCGAATCAAGGTAAAGAAAAGAATATGAGCTGGAGATGACAAACCACAGCTAAACCTAATGTAGCAGGTTTCAATTGTTAAAAGGGGTTGAGACATCAAATTTGTGGCTTGTTCATCTTTCGTTTCAAACGTTCATTTATCGAGGAATCATGGTTACACGCTTGAACATTCACATAATCCAAGTACAGTCGACTCTCGTCAATTCAAACTCGAAGAGACCTCTGAATTTTATTTGAATTATCAAGAGTTCTCAGATAGCTGACACTGGGTCAGGTGACACCACACATTATGATTAAGCATTGATTTCATCGCATTTAAAAATGTTTCAAGTGTTTTTAAACCCAGCTGCACACAATGAAGAGAAAGCAGAGGTGTATGGTCTACAAGTTCATTGGCCAGTTACTGCTGATCAGACCTTTTAAATAAATTGTGAAATGCTAATTGCTTCTTTGCTATGGGTATATGCCTTCAGCACAAAGCTCTCTACACCAGTTGAGAAGCATCACGGTTTACCACGCGTGTGCTTTGTTTCAAACACTTGTTTACTAGCAAAGCCTTTTTCTTTGAAGCCTGAGGTGCTCATTTTTCATTTTTAGACTGTTAGGATTATATAAGCACACAAATTTTTAAACAGTAGTGGGAAAGCAGCAAATATTTTCTAGTATAGAACTGCAAAAAGTATGAATTAACCAAATGATGGAGTTTACATTAAGAGGCTTTTAAAAATAGATTGAAAGAATAGAGGGCCAAACAAAAAATTGAATTTTGTTTGCATTAACCGAAAGTATTAATTATCAGACATTGAATTGTCAAGTGTCTACTATATTTAATATAGCCTTATTTATGTGAATGACGTTTGCTTTCAGTTTTGGGGCACAAAGTCGAACAGTGAAGCCCCTGTCTAGGAACCACAACAATGTGAGCTAATGTGAAGTTACAAAGCTGTGACACACACCACACTGCATGGGTCGCTCTCACACATGCATGCAGACAACTGCCAGGATAGTCGCAACACTTGCTAAAATTCTCAAATAGAGAATATAAGCAATTGATTGATTGATATGTGGAATTTAACATCCCAAAACCACCATATGATTATGAGACGTCGTAGTGGAGGGCTTTGGAAATTTCGACCACCTGGGGTTCTTTAACGTGCACCCAAATCTGAGCACACGGGCCTACAGCATTTCCGCCTCCATCGAAAACGCAGCTGCTGCAGCCGTGATTCGATCCCGCGACCTGCGGGTCAGCAGCCGAGTACCTTAGCCACTAGACCTCCGCACGGGGATGAGAACATCAGCAAGTGTGATATCCTGGTACATGCAGAGATGTTTGCAGAATACCGGGTTACCAGAATAATGAATCAACACCTAGTGACAGTTGGAGCAATCACAATTAACGAGAAGTTCATGTTTTCAATGAGTGTCCTTGACAAAAAAATGTTCTTTATTTGAAATTATGCCGCTGCCGAGAGTTCACACAGTGTAGAAGTGGAATACACGTTTCTGCAATAGTAATTTTGTGCTTGCCTGGTTCATTTTAGCGACACCAGATGGCCTCGCCTATTCAGCCTCTCACTTTATGGCTACAGTTACCCAGTACAATGACAATGCCGAGAAGTGTGCAAATCAAAATTCTCCAATGTCTTCACAAGCTCATGAAGACATGAAGAACTTTTTAAAATGCCAGCAGGTATTGCTAGTTCGGCCAAGCGCCGAGAAAAACAAGATAATGGGTTCCCAGCTAATACTCTCTAGGCTTGCACAGGGCTGCGAGTCGCTGCTCACTGCACGTCATTCTAATGTGATATGACATCTTTAAAACTTTCATTTCACTTCCAAAAAACAATGATGTTGGTATCAATAAAGCTAGAACACATTGTAAGTGAATTAAAATACATTTGAAATGTTTCCTGTGTCCAACACTTCGTGAGGAGTAATTTTGCACACAAGGAAAGCCTACAGCAGGCTTTCTACAGCCTCGAAATTTGGTGTCTCAACCATTTTAAGACAATCATTCATTTCACTACACGCAGACCAAACTTTTTATACCCATGAAATCACACCAGCCATGAATTAATGCATCATTTTGAATTTGTTTCGTGGAAGACCTGGAAACTGTCCTTCTTTCTTATTTTATATACACTAAAACCTTATTATTACAAAGTTGCATCTTACACGAAAAATGAGTTCTATGTATCCAAAAAATCATAAAGGTATATTCCTAACACTGTACCCATTGCAAGACTATTTTTCATTCCCTTCACTACAACCGATATTTTATTTTATCCATGTTTGTTTATATCAAGGCTTGAATGTATCAAGACATGCTAGGCTGAACACGTATCAATGTGCCATTCTTGTTTTGTCAAATTGTCACTAGGGTACTCAGACTTGGGTGCAATCAAAAGAACGAAATTCTGTTTACTCACGCAGTGAATTAACCTTCACGAGTGGGGCATCACTTGACACATCAATTCCGTGGCAGAAAACAGTGAGCCAGATTACCACTCGGACGTTAGAAAAATGCTTCTTAGAACCCGTGTTCCATGTCGAAGCGAAGTGTACCATTAGCGATATTAGCTTAAAACACATACAAAGAAAGCTTGAGCTTTGTGTAAAACACAGCGGCTTTGAAAAAAAAAAAAACTGGCTTCTTTCAGATTGGCAGATCCAAAATGTTTGCGCCCACAAACACTCAGTGCCGTGCCCGCCAAAATGCTACAAAAAAAACACTTGCATTTTATGAGACAGACAGGCACTCACCTTGGCTAGCTTCTCATAATTACGACCAGGAGAACTAGTCTGCTTTGAGAAAGGGAGGCAAAAAGATGACATGGGTTAGATAAAACGATCACAGCTTCCGACACAGCATCTCTGAAGAAGGCAAGCGAGGGTAGACCCTGATGACTTGTCCACGCCTAAAGCCCCCGCTCGCCTTGCTTGAAAAGGCTGCAGGTCAAATCGTGCCTTTTTCATTTTCAAAGATTGCACTGAACAATTCAGACCCAGGACAAAATGCATCACCCACCATCTTTATCCAGTAATCAAGAAATATTTTATGCAGGCTTTACTTATGCAAGACATCTTGCTATATTATTGCAGAATGAACAAATGCAGGGGGCCCTGCCAATACATAGATAACCTGCAGTGTCCACCCAGAAAAGAAACTACCCAATAAAATATATAAACACTGCATTGCCAATTTTTTTATCAGTTGCTGTAAATCAATAAAAAAACTATGAGGGCTTGAAGCTATGGACAAGATCAAATGAAAAACTGATTCAGCTTGTTGCAGTTTTGTGGTAGTAGATTCAAGGTGATAATACAGCAAGTGCTGTTCACTAACAACTTCACTTCTCGGATTTAGAGAAGTGTGGTGCAGCCTACTATGGCAGCAAGCCTTTGACCCTAGTGCCTGATTATGGTTTCTGCAAATGCAGCAGAATGTTGGCTACTGGCATTTAAAAGCATGCTGGTACATTCCTCTAGAATGGGTGTACACTGCAGATGTGATTGAGTGGTACAGCGTCTGCCGCCGATTCGGGAGGTGCAGCCGAACCCTTTTATAACAGACGTGAAACTGGAAGTTTTTTCTGTCTCTTACAAAAGGTGTCTCTTATAAACAGGCCATCAAATTCTCATTTTCTGACCAACCCCTATTTTAAAAGTAGGTGCACTGGTGTCTCATATCTATTTGTCTGTTACATCAGCGTCTCTTATATAGGGGATCCAGCTGTACTAGGCTTGATTCCCGCTGTCGCAAGGCATTAAGAGATTTTTATATCGAGAGGAAAGGCACCCTAATCTGGTGCTTGGTGGTTGGGTACTCGTAGCTCTATACAATAATAATAGCTGGCATTTCATGAACCCAAACACCGATATGACTATGAGGGACACCGTAGTGGAGGGCTCTGAAAATTTGGACCATCTGGTGCTCTTCAACATGCAGTGACATCACACAGTGCATGGTCCAAACCTTTTTCGCCTCCACTAAAATGAGAGTGCCACAGCCGGAATCAAACCAGCGACCTTCAGGTCAGCAGCAGAGCACTGTAGCCACTGACACAGAGCGGCGGATGTGGGAACTCGCACCTCGAGCTTGGTTTCATGTTCAATACCTGCGCATGTGTTCGACGTAACGTTATATTGAAGTTACACAATGTACGAGTTCCTGCAGGCATACCCCTAGTCTATCTTTACATCACCCATCTTTAGAGCTGAAGGTCTTGTTTTAGCAGCAAACGGTATTTGTCAGTTGAAAACAGAAACAGCTGCCAGCTTACATAAATGCATCTGTAAGCATCAGGAGCAGCTAGCAACATCAGTGTGCACCGGGCTCACCTTCGGGAAGCAAAGGCTTGTCACAATACCCCCCTCTTCCTACTATGTCAATATATGGGGCTGACTTATTCTCTCCCCCCCCCCCCCCCCCTCCTCTTGTGCATACCTATGTGGCCAGCAAGCTTGTAGTACTGTTCTAGATGCCAGTGGCTAACACACCACCATAATCACATCTACGAAGTGCCTTATCAGGCACTTGGGTTAAGCTTAATAAAGGCACTGCCTACTTAAGAATTTCCTGAAACTACTTCAATTCAGCTCTTCAACAATGCACACAAAAGTCAAGACTAAGAATAGCTTCAGAGTAGATACTATCACAACAGTGGCATGCACTGGGCTAACCTGTAAGAGGAAAAAAAAATGTTTCTAGCATAGTGTATCAAAACAGGGTTACAATAATGAGAATAAAGTATTGCTGTGATGTGCTGAAAATATGTGCTCGCATCTAGTCACAGGCACCTTGTTTTGAAAGGACCAACATAATTTTAAATTTGTGCTCAGATGCAAAAAAAATTTATTCTCTATCTGCAGTATACGTGCTAAACAAGATTGGCCAAACTGATAACAGCCATAGCAACAACCGGAAAGGTGAAAAAATGAAGTCTCGATGCCTGCAAAGCTATGCGGAAAATATTAGGGCAACTGGACTTCACAAAATAAAGGGTAATTCGAGCACTACTACTTTCCTCTCTGGCCCAAGTTTTCTGGCTCACAGATACAATGTAACAGATTGACCTGGCATATAGAGAAGCCCACAAGTGCCATGTATGCTACCATGTCAAAGGGGCCATGACACCCAATTTTCTATCATAATCTGTGTTATGTAGGTTAATTTTTGTTCGTTCATAAACAAGCTGGCGAAACTTCAGTGCATTTAATCGAGCGTCTAATTTATAATCAAACGTTTCTAAAGCACGCATGCTGCCAGAGAGCCGGGCTGCACGGTGCACTCGCAAGCAGTGACGCAACAAGCGGTTAGCTATGCCAGTGTCAGCATACCAGAAAGTGATATTGGTCCGTGGTCCATTGCACATGAAATTGAGATAACTTGGCTTTTTCCAGCTTGGCACCGAAATGAAACGATTTTCAGATAGTAAAACTTACTAAAACACTACAGCTCTGCTTCTTCCAGCTCATGACGTCACATGTGTCATGGCAAAATGGTGGTCACCGGCAGTGGCCAGAGTTTATGGCCGGCAACTACTATGCCTTGTTTTGCACTGAAATATTAATTCATGGCACGCTTTTTATATCTTTATAGGCTAGGCATGAGAGACCATCTACTTTTAGTCTTTGCTGAAAACCACGAATATGGTGTCAGGGCCCCTTTAAGCTGAAAAAAAACTGACGAAAACATCGATATTCTACTCGAAAGATGGCTGTTTTGTTAAATAGTTAATTTCACATATTTAACAGTTGCCTGTATTTTTGATGGATTGTCAGCACGTGGCGGCTGCTTGCAAGTGCGAGCCATCGCATCACAATCGCCATTGCGCATGCAGGGCGCACATATTCCTGTCCTGCTCTTTCCTTTCTTCATTCCACTCTTCCCCTTCCACAAAAGTGTTGATGCTTTGCCCCAGCCAGGAGCATTTTTTGCTACCAGTGCTGTTCATAATCGTTCTGCGAACCTTAGAGGGAGCAAAGCGGATCGTGAGACGTTGGCGGCAGCTGGCACTGTTGGCTGGCTCGTTTCAGGTGCATGTGACCTTACTTTCTCTAGTGCGAGAAAAACGCATTAAATACATTACTTTCCTGCAGTTTCTGCCTGAAATGAATGCTGTTGCAATCCATTTCAACATCCAACTTTTCAACTAGGCTGAAATCTTGGAGGCAAAAAATTTTGTTCGGTATCCCTTTAAGCCTGCACATGAACACATACACTCGCTTTTGTACTGTTATAGTAGCTGCATTCCTCAAAATGTCACTGACCTCTGAATTAACTAGCACATTCATTGCCAGGTTCGAGTAACTTGGACTTCACATGCCTGTAATGTCCCTGGCTGTGGTGTGCCTATTTTTGAGATACCTTCAAGGTGCCTACTGTTGCGCTCCAGCTCACCTATCAGCTACAAGTGAAGATTTTAAATGTGAAGTGCGCCCATGTGCTTCAAGATCGTGCTTTCTGATGTGAAGAGCACAACACGGCCTCTGTAACGTGCTGTGCAGGGATTACGCGAGTGCCAATGCAGGCTCTCAACATTCTGGGTTATTCTATATTTGTTTTAGAGCACCGACAATATTTCCGAGTTTTTACCCAAGCATTAAAGCTGGCACTTTACTCAAACGTTGACAAAATGTTCATGTTGCCAAACTAGGCTTTTTAACATGGTCGAAGATACTTCTAGTTTCCCATAAATAATACAAAGTTGGTGGCTGAAATGCAAATTGAAAACCAAGTGTTAACTACACAGCAAAAGGCCTTCACAACCTACCTAATCAAAACTCTCGACAAAAGTGTGGTATATTTTACTACTGCTTACACAAAATCAAGCCCCCACCCCCCAGGTTCCTCCAGAAAGAAAGCTAGAAAACTGTCCAGTCTCGTTTTTTACCATCATAAAAAAAAGTACTTGCTGAATGAATAACTAATAAAAATTGTGCATCGGGATTTAAAAAAAAAGATGGCAGTGCACATGCACAGTGTACCAGAGGAAGGCACAGTTGACTAGCTTTGCATGCAGAACTCCAAGTCACACAAAGGTGTTTATTTGAGCACCAAGAGTATCGAAAGTGTACAACTCCCGTCACCTGGGAGGCACTTAATAAAATCCACTTCAAGTGAATCACTGAGCGGTAGTATGCCTTCACATCAAAATGAACATGAATATGGCACGTTTTATGCGTAACGACAAAGTGATAGCTTCCCGCTCATTTCAAAACATGCCACCGCAAGTCACAACGGACTGAACGTCAATCGTAACAGAACTCGAACGCCACAACAGCTGCCAAAACAGTACATGAGGGGCAACAGCCGAAAAAGAAAACAATGTCACAAGTATCATCGTGACAGGACAGATCATTCTGGCTCAGCCTAGGTAACCAAGTGCATTGAATAATACAGCAACTCTCTGCCCCACAAGAACCCCTGGCAACAGCCGAAAAAGAAAATGTCACAAGTATCATCGTGACAGGACAGATCATTCTGGCTCAGCCTAGGTAACCAAGTGCATTGAATAATACAGCAACTCTCTGCCCTACAAGAACCCCTTTTTAAGGAAGCTTGTTTGACATGGCTGCAAAAAGAAAAAAAAAAGAAAAAAAGATTGCTATCTGAACACTATGGTATTGCTCTTTTTGAAGAGCAAAATTCATTCATTGCGACACACATTAACAATAACACGAGTCCCAAGATTTAGGTTGAAACTGGAGAAATAATAGTTTTACAGCCTGCATCAGCAAATTGTGATATCCTAACCAGATGCCCACCCCATGTGCCGAACAGCCACGTAGACTTCGCA